TCCCCAGATTGCCGACATCAGTGTGTCTGCCACTCATGGAATCTCCATCTTCTCCAGAGGTTCTGGAGCCCCTTCCTTTCTTTAGCCTAATTTCCCTGGTCACTCGCCCCATGCAGCTTACTGCCCTTTGGGAGCTCCCAAGCCAGGCCACAACACATGAGAATTGGCTGTTTCCCCCGCCCATACAGAGGCCTGGCAATTGCCAATGCTGCCACAAGAGCAGTGGTGAGCAGTGTGTGCTGACTGGTATCTCGGCCTCAACACGCCGGGGAAGGGTCAAACCCCATGAATGAGGTCTTTCATGGCCATAGTACAGGGCCTCTATTTTTTCCTACAGAAACCCTTCACTTGCTTTCAGAAGTGACAATCAAATGTGAACTTTCATGGTTTATTTATAGCTCTGCCTTATAGAGAGAAAGAAAAGAAGTGATTAAAATGCTATTTTGCAAAATATTTTGTTTTAAAAAAGCTTTCATTGTGTGGGCAAAAAGGAAAAAGAAAAGTCACTGTATTCATTGTGCTGTCTAGACTCTCAAACAAAGAGGGTAGCGTGCTGCAAATTAAGATTGTCCAGCTCCTGCCTGCTGACAAAAAGTGGGAATTTGGAGGCCAACTTCAAATAAACTCTTTGGAACAGAAATATATTGTGGGGGTGACTATATTTAGCATGTGTCAGCATCTCCATCATAAATTCATATTGTTATGCTGTGGTAATTTCCAGATTTACTGCAGCCAGTGGGATCATGAGATTTCAGTTTTATGTTAATTATTTGGAGAAATTGGAAAACTCAGCAGTGCTCTCTTTCTGATGACAGCACTGATTCTCTGGGCATTCTCTGGATGGTGCCAAGTACTCTTAAGTAGCCCTGCCTTCCAGGAGAGTGGAAAGTGAGCCCGAGTCATTTTGACTGCCTGTGTAAGCAAAACTTTTCATATATATATGATATATATATATATATAAAATACAGGATATTTGTATTTTCCTTACAATTATCAAATCAATATATGCCACTGTAGAAAATTCAGAAAAAGCAAAAAACAAGTTGACAAGGAAAAGAAGTGATTGCCCATGCTCTCCAGCCCGTTAATATTTTAATATATTTTCATCAGATCTTTATTACGCATATGTAGCTTGTGTTTAACAAGCTGTGTAAAGCAAACAAAAGTTGTGTAGCACAAACACAATTCTTGAGATAGAATGAAAAATCAACTTTATTTTTTATGTCCGCTGCCCGTTTATATTTGTGCAGTGGAGCTAGAATTTTCCCTGCCCTGGTTTAAAATTCTGGTGGTTGCATTACTTTTTTTTAGCTAAGTACAAAGTCACTGAAACGATAACCAGTTTTATGGTCCCTTTAAGTTGTGAAACATAGCCAAAATTCAGAAGTCCAAATATCAAGGAATATGTAAAGGTAAAGGTAAGACGTCTCCCGGGTTCTCCACCTGGGGTCTGCCACCAATGAGAAGACGCAGCTGTAATCAGATTCTTCTTTCTTCCTCATTCACTTCCTCTCTAACATGCATCAGCTTTTATCTTGCTCCACTGAGGCAGTTAGTGGGTATAAGGGAAGAGACATTAGGGGTGTAGGAAAGGTCTTGTCTTACCGGCACTGGCATATATGGGCTCCATGCTCTCCTAGCCTAGTGGTGTTTATAGCTACTAGCTCTTGTCATAAGGCTCCATCATAGATTTTTTGGGAGCGCCTCCACCCTGAAAACCTCTCCCTGAAACATCCTTGTCTTGGTTTAATGCCTTTCTATTCTAGTAGATTCCTGACTCTTCTCTTAATTTTTAGAAACCCAGCAGCTCACCTCCAGCTTCTTTGCTCAGACTCGCTTTGCGTGGCGAGGCGCCATACTGGATAGGATTGAAGACACCCTTGGACACCTTCTCACACGTGGGCCCTGAGGGTCCGTGGGAAGCAGTCATGCCTTTGGGAGCCTGAGCCTGACAGAGCGGCAGTGCTGGCTGATCCCAGGGCAACCCCTCCTTCCTGTCTACACTGAAGCTACCAGCCAGCTCGTCTCCTCCAGGCAAGAGACACACACACCCCGCTGTGTGCCACAACCTTAGGACGTGCATCAAGCTCTGTTGGTCTCAGTGAAGCCCTGTTCTCTTGACTCATGAAGGGAGAGGCTCCCCTCACACCTCACCCTGGAAGGAGGCCTGACGTGCAATAAACCAACAGCTCTCCTAAAAATCCATCTCTGTCTGACCTTCCGTGTGGATGAAGGGTTTGAGAATTGATTAATGGGTCTTCGGGCACCCTTTGTACAAATTCTTCAGGGTGGTCTGTTTCCAGCTTGCTCTGGAATCTTATATCTGTCGTCTTTAGAGCTCAGCCAAAACTTCCATTTTAACATTCTGTCACGTGTATTATCCTTAAGTTCATTCATTCAGTAGACATTCCCTGAGTGCATACGATATGCCAGATGCCGAGTTTGGCAGTAAAAATAATTATAACAATTCCTGCCTTAAGAAGCTCACAGTCTAGTTGGGGAGGCTGATCTGTTAATAAAAAGTGATGGTGCCGTGTCATAAATACCGTGATAGACAAGAGCACACGTTGCTGTGAGAGCAAATAACTCGGTCTAGGTGGGAGGCAGGCAGCAGGGATGAATCAGAAAAAAATCTTCTCAGTAGAGCTGATACCTGAGCTAAGTTTAACATTTAAATCTGTGCTTTTTGAGAAACAACCTCTTTTTAAACCTTTGAAATCTCTACGGTGAGTGTTCGTTTCTCAATAATTTATTTTTAAAACAAGCAAAGGTAATGGGAAGAAAGGAAGAAAGAATTCCCCGATGTCTGCATTTGTCCACACATCTGTGACAGTGGACAGGAAAATGACATTTATGGGGTACCTTCTATAATCCAGGTTTCCTGGATCCCACCCACGATGGCAATCCTGGCATGCCGTCTCAAGTCTGGGGCCTGTGTGCAACCGGGAAGAGCCTTTCCCAAGGGCGTGTTCAAGGTTCAGCGTTGGTGGCAGGAGGCAGGGTCCTCCCTGGGAGAACAGCAGAGCGTAGCGTGAGGAAGAGGCAAGGACAAAACAGGAGTGGCAAAGTTGATCTCAGCACGACATGGGGCTTGCTGTAAGGGAGGAAGATGTTCTGACAGAGGTCAGGTGAGCAGAGCTCTTAGAACAGCCTGCTCCGTGGCACGGCAGCCGCCTCACTGAGCTGCGTTTGACTGCTTTGGCCTTTCACAAAACGGCTCCAGACAGCCCTTTTAGCTTTTGTCTTTTCCCAGGGTTTCTTTGTCAATAATTTTTCGTAATTTAAACAATCTCCTCCCTCCTTACGGCTGCCATTTCTTTCTGCTGTCAGTGTGCTCGCTACTTTAGCAGCTCTGATCTCCCTCCCAGTCGGCACTTCCAACTCTGCTGAGGGCTAGGAAACCAGGTAACTAGTTCAGAATGTTCATGCTATCCTTGTGAAAGAGTTGGTAGAACAACCTAGCAGGAGTGGACATTTGCGTCAGTGAGCAGATGAAAAAGCTATCAGGTTTCCTAACCATGGAATAACTATTGAAAAGAAGTTTATCTGCTTCTAGCATAGTTTTTATCACACTCTATTTTGATCACAGTAAACGTTTTTCCATTCTACGGTGAGCTCCTTGATGAAAGGCCCATGCAGTCTTCCTCTCTCAATCACATATATATGGAGTGCTAGTCTTGGCACATAAAAGGGCGCAATATGTTTTATGAATATTCTAGGTGTTGAGATTCAGCAGTAAATAAACGAAGCCCCTTCCCTGTGTAGCTTACATCCTGGTTAGGACAAGGAGTGGAGAGGGCAGGTAATGAATGCATAAACCAGTAAATACATAGAGTGTCTGGAGGTAATTAGCAGTATGAAAATCAATCAACCAATGAGTCAGTCACAGTAAGGTGGCAAAGCTGGGCAGGGGGACACTTGGATATGTTTTGAAGATACCCAGGGGCTCTTACATTCTGTGCGATAGTCAGCTTTTCACGTTTTCCTCCCCTGCTAGTGTATGAGTTTATCTAGCACAAAGAGTTTGTCGTATGCAAATCTGTATCTATAGCACTGTGTCTAGTACTTAGCGAGTGGTTAATAAATGTGTGGAATGAGGAGTTGTACACATGTGATCCCAGAATGACTACAACCTTAACAATTCCAATTCTAATAGCTATTCCTAAGACTGGGCCTATTTTGTGGAGCTTTGCATGCTATTGCTTGTGGTCTTCCCTACTTAGGTCTGTTGGACTCTGAAGTGTGGGTTCACTCCATTCGCCTTAACTTTCTCATGGCCTTAACAGCCTCGGGAGACAGTCCAAGGAAACCTAACCCTTCTGTTCCTGTAATGGAGCCAACACAATCTATGGCTGATCTTTATGCTGTATACACCATGCCTTGTCCTCCCAGATGCTGTAACATGTCATCTGCCTGAGTGCCCCATTGTAAAGACAAGAATTTCTTGAAGTCACATTCCAGGATCCAGGTCAATTAGACTCAGCCCAGAGGTCTCACGTTTATACTCACAACTTCAGAGACTGCTGGAAAAAAGAGCTGTAGTTGAATTAAAGTGGTCTTATTAATAAATATTTTATCCTAAAGTACAAGTGCAAAGTGGGTTCCATCCAGTTATTGTTGTGTTAATTAAGTAGACAGTGTACTCAGGGGCTGATTATGATGCCTTCTTATGCCCCCGTATCCAGGTGGTGAGGAGGGGAAATAATTCCTCCCACAGTCCCTGGAGGCAATCATAGAAGTGCTTTGTTGTCTGGGTTGTTTATGCTCAGGAGGCCTCAATATACAACTGTTTATTAAGCTCAGGATGTGTGGTCAATGAACATGTAAATGTTCATTGGATTTTATTCTTGCTACCAGAGAAAAATAAGTTGAAAAAAATAGGGACTAACCAAATATCTTAAAGGGAAGAGAATTCTAATAAGAATGTTCTTGCCTGTGACAAGCTTCACTTTGGATTTAGCTTTCCCACTCAGCTATCTGTGTTGTTTTCCACTTAACAGGAGGCAATGGCAAAAATGAGCAAAGTGGGGAAAGTTGTGTTCCCGAGACGAGAGGATAAAAAGTAAGTTTACATTTTTTATATGCACAGTGCTACAAAACTGAAAGATACAAATGCATGCAACTATAGATCTAGACTAAACTTAGGAGGTCAGCTAACCCAGTCCTTTCATTTAATAGTTGAGAAAACTAAGTCCCAGAGAGTTAAGCTAAGATTGCAGAGTTGTGTAGGGCCAGACCTGGGGGTCAAATGCAAGCTTCTCAACTATCAGGCCAATGTTCTTTTTCCTAGATCACTGGCAGCAAATCTGGTCTTCTCTGTTCTAACGCAGGGGTCTCTCATATTTTCCATCCAAGGACCCGACAGCATCTGTCCATTCTTTTACACTTTGTATCACTTAGCACTGAGGGCTACAAAATGACCTGGATTAGTGTTTTAACCCCAATTCAACAAAATATTAATTTATTGAGCTCCTGCTATGTTCAAGGCATTATGCTGAATTTGATTTGTGTACATAGCTCCTTTCAGAACAAAGGGGTATGCTCCATAATAGAAGTATCGCTAGGTGACACAGTAGCCAAGGAAGAAAGGGATATGACAGTGCAGGGGTGAGGGGAAGCTTCTGAGAGGAGGCTAAGGCTAAGCTGACTTTAAATGCTTAAGAAATTGCTAGCCAGGCCAAGGCAGGGAATAACATTCTTGGTAGAGGGAATAACATATGCAAATTATAAAAGCGAGAACAGCATGGTATGTGCAGGTTAACTATAAACAGTTCATAATTCTGAAACATAAAGTATGAGATGGCAGGAAGTGGGACTGGGGGAGGGCAGAATTGGGAAGCAGACAGTCACATGGCTTCTAAAGAGCTTGGAGGCCACGCTAAAGACCTCTAACCTCATCCTACGGGCAGAACAGGCATACCTGATTTTAAGCAGTGGTGAGACCTGGTAAAATGCAGATTAGAAAGATTCCCCCTTAGAGGATGGATTAGAGGGGGCAATGGATAGAAGTAGAGAGACCGGATAAAGTCTTTTTTCAATAATCCCGGGTAGAGATGAAAAGGACCTCCATTAATTCACTGGCAGTGGGTTTCAAGATGAAGGGACAGTTGTGCAGTGCCTTATAATTTTAGGAAAATATTTGAGGTTAAGACATGAAAACAAATTCCACCTCACGTAATGGACAGGAAAAGGTGCTGATACCACCAAAGCATGACTGATCACTGTTTAACAGAGTTGGAAATGTCCATGGAAAAAGAAGCCTAATTTCTTTTCATTTTCTTCTTTGTCTCCCAGTGGAGTCAAGCTGTTAACCCTCTGAATATAAACGCTTCTCTACATGCCAGGGTCAAAGGAGCAGGCCCTTGCATGGGGGAGCTCGGTGCAGAACATGGAGCGATCTGAGTTCCCACTGGCAGTGGGGCTGTGGGCTGCTATCCCTCTGTTCCCCTGCGGGCAGCTGGAGCGGCCCTCTTTTTTTGAAATTAGGAAACAGACTATACTTCTCCATCCCTTCTCTGACCCTCCCAGGACTTTTGGGGAAGTCTGTTTTTCAGTTCTTTCAGTAAGCCCCACGTGTTCCTTTTGAAGAGCATCCTTGGCTTCATGCTGGCCGCTGGCAGCTGTCTCCCGGGAAGGAGGCGGCAGGCGTAGTGCTGTGGCACCATCTGCAGGCGGCCTGAGGATCTGCAAGTGGAAAGAGGGAGCCAGTTTCCTTCTGAGCTACTCTCACATCTCATTGCCTCCAATTACACCATTAACTGTATGGACATTGACTTAGGTCTGTGCCACTCAGAAGCAACTACTTGAGTTAGGGAGAATTTGGAGGAGAGGAAATTCAGCTGATTTAAAAAGTCAGAATCACAGAAAGACTAATCTAGGACTGTAGTTCAATAAGTAAAATTTTAAGATGACCACAAATCTCCTCATTATGCCCAGTCCAAATTTATATGTGACTCTAGAGCAGTCACTTGAAAGCACCTTGAAATAAATTTGTGCAATAAAAGACTTTAACAACAGAATAAAATGGCAACCCACAGAATGGGAGAAAATATTTGGAAATCAGATACCTGTTAAGGGATTGATATCAAGAACTCCTAAAACTCAACAACAAAAACCGAAACCACCCAATTCAAAAATAAGCAGAGGACTTAAGTGAGCATTTCTCCAAAGAGGATATATAAATGGCCAACAAGCACATGATAGGATGCTCAACATCGCTAACCATTAGGAAAATCAAAACTATAATGAGATACCACCTCACACCCATTAGAATGGCTACTATTAAAAAAAAAACAGAAAGTAACAAATGTCAGTGAGGATGTGGAAAACTTGTGCACAGTTGGTGGGAATGTGCACAGCTGCTATGGAAAAACAGTATGGCAGCTCTTCGAAAAATTAAAAATAGAATTAACATGATTCAGCAATTCTACTTCTGGGTATATACCTGAAAAGAACTAAAAGCAGAGTCTCTAAGCGTTATTTCTACACCGTTGTTCACAGCAGTATTATTCACAATAGCCGAAACCACAGGAGCAACCTAAATTTTCATCAGTGGATGAACACATGAACAAAAAATGATATATACATACAACGGAGTATTAGCCTTAGAAGGAAGGAAATTCTGACATAGGCCACACATGGATGGATGAATCTTGAGGTTATTATGCTAAGTGAAATAAGATAATCACAAAAAGGCAAATACTGTATGATTCCACTTATCTAAAGAATAAGGCCAGTGAACAAAGTTGCTGCAAAGTGGTCAAAATTAAAACTGGAAATCTTCAAGTATATGATAAAGGATACTAACCCTATCTCCCTTCTAGCAGTTTTAAGATTCCAAAGTCCAGGAAATCCATCTCATACAGAGAAAGAATTGCTTACCATTATATTGTCATAGAATATCACAAGGGGAAAATCATTCTATGATCAATAAATTTGAAGGCTCATAGAGTGGGTTTCAGTAGTACCTACATATAGCTAGATTGATGATAATATTAAAATATTAATTATTTAAAAATATAGCACTTATATCACTTCCTATGAGTCAGGTACTATTCTAAGTGTTTTGCATATATCTCCTCTTTTAATTCATACGGTAGCTCTGTTGAAGTAGATCCTATTATAATTAACTCCATTTACAGATGAGCAAATGTCAGTGCAAATAGATTAAGTAACATATCCAAGGTCACACAGTTAGTAATGGGCCACACCGAGATTCAAACCCAGGCTTCAGGGTCCACCTCTTAACGCTGTGTCTGGCCCCTTTATAGCTCCTATGTTACCAGAATGCCTACGGTAGAAATGTTGGTGGGGGGTGGGTAGAGGGACTTCTATTAACGTAACTGTGTGACAAGTAGAAGTCCCTGTGTGTATCTAGGTGTACAGCCTCTCTCCCTCAATCACAGGCTTGCACCAAACCTCTCCCATGAGGCTCCCTTTCAGTGCACCCCAGAATCTACCAAGACAAGCTAAACTGCCTTTATCAACGCCTCACCCCATGTCAGCTTCCCCAGCTGAGAGGAGCAAGGACAACGTTGCAAGTCTACAAGTATAATCTGTCTAGTCTGCTGTTATTCCTTTCAGGATTATGATGCCAAAGCAGCTTCAGCTGCTCTGCTATCTGATTCATGGCCAACACCAGTTCTAACAGGTCTCACCTGTAGAGTCAGCGAAGTAGCAGGGAGAGAGCAAGGTCCACTATGAGACGCCTGGAAGGCAGGGCACAGCTCCAGGAAAGGCATTAGTTGCGTATCCACAGGGTTTTACTCCTAGGCAAAGCAGTCTGCAAAGGAAATGTAGGTGTGGAATCCACAAAAGGCTGATTAAAATGTTCGGTCTCATCCCTGGTCAGGCTGTGGTTTTATACCAGTCATCCAACCTGGGGCTAGTCGTGTAGGAGATATTTATGGCATCTGGGAATGTGAAAAGATCTCTGTTAAGCATGGGCCTTTTAGTACGTGCAGTGGAGACTTTGAAGTCAGACAGATATGAGTTTGAATTCCAGCTGTGCCAGTTTCAACTACAATACTCTGTGTTTGTCTCTCTGAGCAAATGTCCTTATTTCTAAAATAGAGATAACACGACTCCATGGAGGTTATATATAGTAGGTATGAAACACACTAATCCATTGCTTGGGGTGCTGTAAGTATTCAAAAACTGGGAGGTGTCAGCATTACCATAGGACAGAGGTCCCCAACCTTTTTGGCACCAGGGACTGGTTTCATGGAAGACAATTTTTCCACGGACTGGGGGAAGGAGGAGATGGTTTCAGGTTGATTCAAGCACGTTATGTTTATTGTGCCCTTTATTTCTATTATTATTACACTGTATTACAACTCACCATAATGTAGAATCAGTGGGAGCCCTAAGCTTGTTTTCCTGCAACTAGACGGTCCTATCTGGGGGTGATGGGAGACAGAGCCTGATCTGACAGGAGGCGGAGCTCAGGCAGTGATGCCAGCAATGGGGAACAGCTACAAACACAGATGAAGCTGTATCTGCTGCCCACCTCCTGCTGCGTGACCCGGTCCCTAACAGGGGGTTGGGGACCACAGCCACAGCAGATCTATTCCCATTTTTCTAAATGTAAGGGGGAAGCCACATGACAGTTTTGTCTTGATATCATTCAATGTATTCGTTTTTCTCCCACAGATATTATGACAAGAAATATCAAGTATTCCTGAAGCTGGTTGAACACCAGAAGGAGTATTCAGCGATTATGAGTGGAGACTAAACAGGGCTTACAGGTGCTGGTGCCAGAAGGTTCTGTGTCATCGCATTAGGGCCCTCCGTCATTTCATCTTATATTCAAGACCCTTTAGGTATCACTTCATCATTTCTATATTGTCTTTTAATAAAGGAAACTGAGACATGTGCAATCAGAACTAGTGTCTTCCATTTCAAACACCACTGTTATTTAGTTGGCAGTTTCCATACTGGCACCATCCTAGTGACACAAGTTTCACATACGGTCATAGGCCGTATAGGACTAGACCTTCAGGATCACTCACTCCAGGGGAAAGTCGTTAATTGATTCAATGTCAGCCATTAAATAAAAAACTTATATTGCTTTTAGTGGGACATCTAATGTTTATTCTGTGTCCTTTATGGCTTTTTTTTCTCTCCTGTACAGGATCCAGTCTGGAGTCTAATATTGCATTTAATTACAGGATCATCATGTTGCAATCATCGTATTTTAAAGATAGGTACAGGCAGGAATCATCAATGGATCCAGGAGGGAATTTTGATGAGTAACAGGATGTGTGCATGGTCTTAAAACGTCTCTTCACAGGTTGTTTATTAGTTACAAGAGAGAAAAGAATGTTAACTATACTGGGAAGAAACAGGACAACATTTTGATTAAGTGATCCAAATTAACTTCAGATGGTCAAATGGACCTCATGTGCCTCCAGATGTGATAGCCTGAGAAGGAAACAGTATCACTTTGGCTGGGACTACATAGCCTGTATCTAATCTTAGGAAAACATCAGACAAACCCAAAATGGGGAGCATTTTATTTTTTTAATAGACTACATTCTTCAAAAATATCTATGTCATAAAGATAAAGGCTGTAGAAAGTTTTCAGATTAAGGACAACTAAAGAGACATGATAGCTAAAAGCTTTTGATGTAGACAAGTGTTTGGAAAGCTGTAGTTGTTTCAGTTGATACCACAGCAAACACACAAATGCACACAGACACACGTACATACATATATAAACACACACATCATTTCAGACCCACGAGTAACTGCTAATGTTGATTCTAGAGCTGCCATAGCTCAGATGAGTGTGGGTAGAGGATGTGCTGAGACTTCAGCAGGTAGGAAAGAAAAAGCCGATACAATTCAGTCAACAAACATCCTCTCGAGTATTATACTCTGTGCCAGGCATTGCACAAAGCACAATGGTACAGGAATAAATAAAACATGGTCCCTGCCTTCAGGAAGCTCCCTGTCTACTGAAAGAGACAAATAAATCGATCACAGGACATGGTGAGAGGTGCTGCAATCCAAGAAAGCACCTGCCGCATGCAGCACATCGGTCAGAAAAGGAGGAAGAAATGGAGGGTTGACAGGCAGGATGGAAACCAATATAGCGTGACAGCTATGAGCCTTGGCTTGGGATCCTGGGCCTAGCCTTACCTCTCTTACTAGATGTGTGACTTGGATAAAGGTCCTTAACTGTCCTAAGCCTCAGTTTCCTCATTTTTAAATGAAGATATTAATATCACCTACTTTATAGGATTATAATGAGGATTAAAGAAGATAATACATGTAAAGCACTTAGCTCAATTGTCTGGACCGTGCCTATATTATTACAGGGCTCAGCTCCTAGAAGATTCTCAGGATAATAATTGTACACACTGAGTAGGACGACCACACCCCATTACCAAGGCCAGCCCTGCAATAGCGTTCTCCAGTATCCAATGGGTATAGAGAGTTTTGGCCTGGCCCAGGGTGCAGGTGGGTGTGGGTGTCTGATCCAGCAGGCCTCGAAGCAGGAGGAAGTCCGTTCATTCACAGCTAGACACCAGCCGGAGCTTGGGCTGGGGATGACAGACGATTGGGAGCACCCCAGAGGAGGAGTGGGGTATAGCAGGATCTAGACAAGAAGTCGGGTCCATGGTCAAGCAGGCTTCAGCTGCAAAAGCTGATACGCACTGACGGAGAAACTGGGCAGGCCCTGGTGTGCAGTAGCTGTGTATGGTTAGAAAACGCAGAGAAAGAAGAATGAATAATTACCAACTATTTGTCAAGTCCTTCCCAGGTGTTCTCTCCCGTCCTTACTGCAGCACTGTGAGGTAGGCAGCATTACCCCACATTCCAGTTGAGAAATCTGAGGCTCAGAAAAGATAAACAATTTGCCCAGAGTCGTGCAGGGTGGTAGTAGAGATAGGCTTCAAATCCAGATCTGCCTGGGTGCAAAGCTTTAGGTGTCACCCCACTGTGGGCATCCTGCCCACCACCTGCTCTTTAGTGACATTGTACACGCTGTGGCTTACCAGCGCTGGATATGGTCATTCTTTCAAGCAACTTATATCCATCCCAAACCTGACCTTGGGTTCTCACTGCTTCATAGAAAAAAGGAAAACACACAAATGAGGTGAGAAGCATGGCAACACTAGGACACCGTTAGCATCTCAACAATGAGGAGCAGCCTGATAGAACAGGGAAAGGCTGAAAACCCTTTGACAAGACAGATAACCTATCTGGGCCTCAGTCCTCTCCTCTGTCGGTGGGGTCATCCTGCTACCTACCTCCTAGGGTTGGTCGTAAGATTCAGGGAGAGAACTGTGTATAAAGCCCACAGCACCATGCCTTGCAGATAATAAGCATGCCACAAATTTTCTTTGTACATGGTTCTCTTTGTGCCTCCTGGCCAGGAGGTTAATCCCTAAGAAAAATCATTCTGATTCCTTCCATAAAGGCAGTGTTTTAGGAAAAAATGCAAATGTCTATATAGACATCTACAACCATGTGTAGCTCAATAAAAAAAAATTAATGACTCCAATATTCACTTTCTTGCACTGGGAGAGAAGGCTTTATTTAATACACACATGTAAAATATATTTAGCTTTTGTAAATAAAGATTACAATGTGGCCAGAGTGGTTTGTGGGATTTTTTTGTTTTGTTGCCTACTGAAAGCTTTTCTTTCAAGTTGAAGCCAGCCTTGCTTAGCAAATCATTTTGCCAAGAACACATTACAGGTTTTTCATTTTGACCAAAAATACTTCCCATATGTGAAGAACTTTCAAAAGAGACAAAGAGAACAAAAGCTGGGGGAAGGAGGTGGGAAGGAAAAGACAAAGATGGCAGGATGGAGTGCCATGTTGCAGAGCTACGGGACCCAATGCCAGGGTGCCACTTAGAGTCCCACGAAGGCATCTAGAAGGGATGCCCTCTCGTGCGGATAGCAAGACTGGGCGTTTGGTCTTTATATTCACAGCACAGTCTATGTTGTTGCCAGTTGAGTTGGGAAGTGTAAGTTCCAAGAGGAGCAGTAAAAATATTATAAGACATCCCTGAAAACTCCCAGCTTTGAGGAGGTACCAAATCAGCAGGTGAGTGTAACAAGCTGGAACGTTTAGGTTTTACTATTAACTTGATCTGCTATTTCTCCCAGGCCTGAGGATAATCAAATTATTCAAGTTAACTTATCTGTTCCCTAGCCACTGGTCTGTGAGCTCTTGGAAGGCACAGACTCTCTTAGGTGTGTTCTCTATACATAATCAGTTTCCTGGAACATAATGGGTGCTCAATAAATGAATAAATACACAGACATAAGACATTTTTCTGCAAAAAGAAGACTGGTAGAACTAAAAATATCTCACTTTTAGGTCCAACAATCTGTAGTATGTGTTAGTGTGCCTTAATTTAAGCAACTTTCAAAAACTTTCAAATGTGACTTGGTCACTAAGAGTTAAAAAAAAATCATGCTTTATATCTAATGACTTGCTTTTAGTTTATTATTGCACATATACACACTCATAACCACACAACTTCATTTTGGGCTGTCATTCAAGCTCAGAAACCTATTGCAAATTTTCAGTGTTGTTACAGAACATTTCCTGCATGATATTTTATGGGAAACCAATGGTGTTGTAGTCCAGAAATAGCCATTGTTCACCAGGGCTGTGATACACATGCTTTCAGAATTCAAGGGCATAGTTACAAATAATTACCATCAAAGAATTTAAAATGAAGGACATTGTTGCTAAACAAGAAACTAATGACTGAGCAGAGCTGTGTAATGTAATTATACTTAAGATGGGACTTCTGATGAATTACAGAAGAATCTTTGTGCTGTCTCATGTCTCCATAAATATACTTAACTGCTATTGACAGTAATAGGAGGGAGTCTTGAATATGAAAAGCTTTTTTTAATCCTTTCATAATTTGTAGAGGGTGAACTTAAAAGAAAAAGCACATTTTTTAAAAAAAGATGTTTCTCCCAGTACTTCCATATATTTGACAATACTATAAAATTTGTAAAACTAAAGTAACTTAAATAAAAACAAAATAAAAACAAAGACTTACAACTTAGCATTAATTCACCCATTAATTTTATGGTCAATTTTCATTATGCACAGAAAATCCACTTAAAATTGCTTATTAGCATAAATGTTCCTAAGGGCCTAATTTTTATTTGTTTAAATCAGGCCTTAAAGCCTTAATTAGAATTGTTTCCTTATTAAAACCTAGAGTGAGCCTGCCTCCCTACTGTATAATTATAAACACATTTGAAGTGCAAAATGATTTATTTATTAATGTCTGTTATTTAGGAAAAATCAATAATGATGCTTTCCTTTTGAATATTTCTTTAAGGTTTCCATATTGATTGCACATACATCATCTCATCTTCTCCTTATAATAAATTGGTAAGGTAGGCTTGGCAAAGTGGGAAACATATATCTTCAAGTTTAAGTAACTGGCCCAAGATTGTGTAGCTGGAACATAGATGCAGAACCACTCCTCTGCTTCTTCCTAAATAAATTAAATTAGCTTATTTGTGCAACAGAGGATGATTCATTAGTTTGCTAATTGCTCTCTCTTCCCTGCTGCCCCTCATTAACATGATGTACAAATATCTAGGAGCCTCCTCTGATACTCATTTGTTGATCAAAGGATCGTGTTATTTCTAGTGGCAAGCAAAGGTCAAGTGAGAAAGCCTTGGGCCATGGAGTCACTGAGCCCTGCCTTCAAATCACAGCTTAACCACTTACTGATCTACACAGCGTATGAATGTGTAGATTCGTAAATTCAAGCCAGTTCGCCCGTTAGTCTCTTTCTTATCTAGAAAATGGGAGAGCAAAAAAAATATCTTTCTCATGGTTAATGTGAGGATGAAATAGGATGATACGCAAAGTGCCTGACACAGTGCCT